GAGATGGGGTCACGCTGTGGCTCAGGCTGGTCCCCAACTCCTGGGCTCAGGTGATCTACCCACCTCAGCCTCCCAGTGTACTGGGATTACAAGGGTAAGCCACGACATCCAGCCGGGAAGTAAATTTTTTACTTTTTATCTGATTGTAGGTAGTTGAAGGCCTTTTTTAGTAAAAACGTGCACTGCAAAATATGCATAGATTTAGAGGCTGAAACTTGAGAAAGAGTTTTGCACATATATGAATGGGCGCAGGTCTGCTCTGCTCGGCCATTAAAAGGCTTTAAGTGAGAAGGTTCAGGAAGCACTGGCCAAGATCGATCTTAGGCGTCTTGATTGAGGTTGAAGAGCAATTTGCTGCACGGAACTCCTGTGTGGTCAGCACAAAAATAAAAACAAAAATGGGAGTCGCCCCACTCTTGAAGCCAGAAGGCACTTTTTGAACAAACAAGTGTTTCCTGGGTGTGCTAGACAGTCATGAACTACCCAGTTTTGAAATTGAGTTCCCTCATCTCTTTCCTTGACCTTCAGCTCAGACTCAGAGTGCCCTCGTTGTGCTGTCTGTCCGGGCAAATCTGGTTGTACGGTGCCCCTCAGGTGAGAGACACTTCCCCTGAGATTTCCTCCCAGAACCTTGGCCTTTAATGCTTGGGGAGGAGCTCAGACCTGGGGCCAAAGGAAAGCTCTTTAAGGAAGGAGCTCGGGAAGGCCCATCTCCTCTCGCTACACTAGTTTTCTTACTGGCAATTCAGCAAAAGGCTTATTTTTGACTGTCTTGTTATTTTTTCTTGAAAGCTATAGGCACCTTATTATGCCTTTGCATATGTGCCAGAATTTTTTAAACTTCAAATGAATGTGGCAGATGTTCATAAAAGTTTAGAAAAAGCTACCATAGGAAGACTTTTTAACCATTTTTATGGCACTCAAATTTGTTACACAAAAAGAAATAGAAATTATAACCTAGTGTTCTCATTTGAAAAAGGGTTCTTTTGGGGAGAGACCCAATTCCAGGCTTTGTGCCCCCGCAGAATGCCGCTGCTGTTTGTTAAGTGGTAACCTAGTCACCTTAAAGAGTCCTCTTTCCTTCTAAAGTGACAGGTTTATACCTGATCGTCATTCTTCTCTCCCTTCCTTTTTGTAGGCTTTCTCCCATTTAAGCAATTTGAGGCTAGTGGCAAGTTAGCAGGATAGCCAAGGAGGGTATTGGCATAGACCTAGTTTCTTCTTGGAGAGAACGATCATGTTAGCTGGCAGCGAGGAAATCCCAAACATGGCCAAATTACACAGTGACTGTGTCCTTTCATTCAAGTGATCTCAATTTACTTCAAGAAACATTTATGCAGCCCCTCTTCTGCGCCATCTCTGGTAGCAGATGCCAGGTCACGTCTGGTAGAGGGTGCCTCTCCTATTTCATAAATGAAGACTTTCTTCCCTAAGCCTCATAGATGGTGCTTTGTGTATGGACCTCAGAGTGACATGAGGGATTGATCCAGATATTTTATATCATTCCTGGTGGCAGAGTGGTCAGGAAGGAGGAAGAAAGGGCAATAGGAAGGATGCAGTTGCAGGGAGAGGCTCGGGTTGGCTTGTACACGAAGCTCCACGGATACACAGCAGCAGTGAGGGACCAGAGTTAGAATGCAGGCTCCAGATTGTAGACCACTTCCTGCTTATGCGACCTTGGACAAAGAAATTGACCTCTGCCTTTGTTTTGTCACCTGTAAACTGAGGGTAGTGGCCGTGTCTCCCTTACAGGCTCATTGCGAGGACCCAGTGAAATAATGGGTATCAGATGCCTAGCACAGTACCTGGCACATAAAGAGCTCAACAAAGGTCAACTATCATTGCTGTTTTTATTTCTTTATTGGCCTTAAAACCATTTACATTTTAAGCTGATGGCTTTGAAATTGTGTTTCAGGAACTCATGGGTTCCCAGGGTCATCTTCCTCTTTCCCTAGGGAAAGAGAGTTTCAGCAAAACCCTTTTATACCTGCCTCGTTTCCTCCTGGTTTGCAGGGCACAGGTACTACACCGGGGTTGAGAATGACACTTGTGTAGAGTTTGATACGTGTCCTTGGAGACCCCTGCCTGACCATGTCCTCACCCTGTTAACTTCAGGCGTGATCCTTTGTC